CTTTCCGCAGCTCCTTTAATTGTTTGTTATTGTTATCACGATTATTCTTTAAAATAAAGTTATATAGTCATTAACGTTATTGAAACTGACAGCTGCTATACAGCTCGTTGAGAAATGAGGTTAAGTTGGTCGCTATAAGCTACGCCCTACGTCCAATGTGTCAGAGCCAACTTCGACCACGTTTTTATTTGAACGCTCGTTATTTATTTGCGCAAACACAGTGTCATGTTGTCTTCATATGCTTATGTTATGATGAAAATAAATATTTTAACATAAACAACTGTTTTTTTTTTCTATATACATTCTGACTTATAATTTATTTTTTAAAAACTAAATTATTGTCCTATCTTAGTCATGTTGACTAAATAGTTGGAACAACAATAATCCAAAAAAATATACATTTTAGCATCATCAATTGTAAAATTTCATGTTGTTTATGTATTCGTTATGTATCAATTGCAATGCACAAAAAGCAAAGAAATAATAAAAAATATTATTAACGAAAATATTGATGTGTTTACCTCAAAATTGTCCAATGTCACCCCGGTTTACGTTACTTAATTTTCTGTACGATTTTTATTTTGATTTAATGACTAAAAAATAATATAAATTTCTGAAATTTCGTTGGCTTTAGGAAGTTTAGAATTACCTCTTTTTACGAGGGCTATATTTTAAAATGTTTTCATGTTTATTTCATTTATTTAGTTTATAAGTAATGATAATACAGGGAGGCCCTTATTAATGGGTCATAGAATAACTGTATAGATTGTAGGCATTAAAATAGTAGGACTATAGGAAACTATATGTGCCTTACTATAATGTTGCTGGTTTATGATGTACAGAACGTTAAAATTTGGTTTTAAATTTCAAATTTATTCCTTTCATAAAAATTGCATAAAACAGAGGCGTTTGATAGTAAGAAATCCGAATTTGAGCTTAATTTTTAGATATCCTTAGATGGCACTAGATATACACTACTGCATAGTTATCTATCCTTGCAACATATTTAAGCTCTGCCTGGCTTTTGAATAAATCATTTGATACGTTGATTATTTTCGAGATATTCCCACTTTAATGATTGTCAGAGTATAATTTCTGACCACTAACCACTAAATATTATTCCGGAAACAACTTAAGTAAGCTCTGTCTTTTGAAGACAGTGCTAGTGACAGCAAAAAACAATGTGGCTTGTCTTGGCAGAAACTTATTCAGTATTTCAAAAATAATAATCTTAAGTGGATTTTTTACTTACGATATCCCAAGACACAACTAATTTAGACATTTTAAAAAATGTGAGTGAAATATAACGGCTGCGTTTCAGCAGGAGATATTTTTATTTGTTCCAAAACCGCAGGTATATAGCCAAATTATAAAATTTTTCACTTTTCCTGAACTGGATGAAATGAATGAATTTTCATCCCAATCGTTTACATTTACATGCTGCAACACAAGTAAATAAAACTGCGATTTTAAAAATTCAACATGAAAGACTTTATCTTCATCCACATCATTTTAGGCCTGTCCAAAATTTGTTTCCCATTAACTTATCTATTAGAATTAGGAGGCTATTTTTATGAGACTTGCTTATATCTAATTGGAGAAACAATCACATTTGGGAACAAGAAAACCTTTATTCAATTAGAGAAAGATATTTCCAACATGAGTTTTCAATAAATATTTGGCGTAATGGCATTAATGATGAGGATAATTTGTAATTTTTCAAAATAGTTTACCAGATGTATTAAATTGTTTTTCACTAGACCTGCTCATTATACTTCACTAGTTGGAAACCTTTCGAACGAAAATTTCCCTCAAAAGTGGATAGGTCATGGCAGCAAATTTCCTTGGCCAAATTGTAACCCTAACCTCACCTGCTTACATTTTAAATTTTGGGGCTACTTATAGACTTAGTTAATAGCTACGTTCGGCAAACTGTTACGGATTAGGGGTGGAGTGGATTGGGAGTGAATTCAGAATTTTTAAGAGTTCACAGAGCAAATTATAAACAAACTTTTCAGAATCTGGAATCTGACGTTTACAAGAGAAAAAAATTTAGGTTAGATGTTTTGTGTTCAAAAGTAAAATGAATTTTCCCTTTGCAATTGTAAATTATGTTCGTGAAATATTCGATGATTCTTCCGAGGAAGAAGAAATCAATGAAAAAGTTGACCGATATGCCGAATATACGGTACCACATTAATTAAATGATGTATATTTGTTTTAGCAAAGTACATAACATATACAGTATAGCAAAGTTTACAGAAATAGTATCACAGACCAATAACAGAGAAATAGTATTCTGTAAACTTTGGTTTTAGGTTAGGTTACCTATTTTACTCCGTAAACACTATCTCGAAGAGGTGGGATATATAGAGTGAGTTCTGAGTGTTCCTCTCCAACGTAAACGAACGGTAAATAAATTGCTCTAGTCACTCTAATTGTAATAAACGAATTGGGTTGGAGTGAAAAGAGTTAGCGGAGTTGGATAGCCGAACGCGCCTTATAAAGACATTGTTTCATGTGAAAATATTCTGCGAATAATTCACGCAGGAGTTAATGCCATTAGGAACAATAAAGGCATTTTATTTCGAGTAAGACATCATTTAAATAAAGGAATATGAAAATATATTGAGATAAATTGAAGATAAAGTTTGCTTAGGTTAGTACCAAAATAATATAAGTAGTGGTACGAAAGCAAAGTGGGAACATCTCGAAATTGGAGTGATGTATTGATATGAAACAAGTATACCTTTTTACCTTAGAAATAATCAGCTTATAAAATTATTTAATCAAAATGTAAATAGGACTTTGCATAAAAATGTTGCGATCAAAGATAATAATGCAACAGTGAGATAATACTGCCCCTATCTAAAAATTGTTCATATTCGGATCTCTCTATCAAAAATCTCCTGTTGTAAAGATGTCTGTCAATTTCACTAAATATATATTTATCACGTAATAAATTTGAAATTTAAAATCAATTTATTATTTTGATATCTACAATTACTCTATGACCTTTACATTATGGACCACTCTGTATAAAACAAGACTGTAAAGATAATATAAATAAGGATAATGTAAGGTATATAAAGCAGAGTATAAACATGTTTCAGAAAATGCCTTAGTGATTGTGTTTTAACTTAAAACACAATAATTTTGTTTGTTAGTAACATTTTACATAGATTTAAAGCATCAAAGGGTTATACAAAATGCAAGTTGGGGTTACAATAATAGTTATTATAAAAAGTTGTATATACCTATATTAAAAACTTACTGAATTCTAGCAAAAAAAAATTAACAAAAAATGAAGATACTTATTTGTGGAGTAATTTGCATTTTTTCTTTATTACCTATTTTATTTATTTTTGTCACTGTGAAAAACAATTGAAAGTTACCCTGGTAGCAAAATCTTGCACAAGGCACTTATACAAGACTGCTGTGTACCTATTGCCGAAATCAGCATCAGGTTTACTGCAAGATTCATTGTGCAATTGTCTTGATCAAAGCTTTCATTGGATTTGATTCAGGGCACTTGAGCACAAAGGGGTAAATTAAAGCAAGTGGCTATGTTGCAAACTTACATTAGAATTAAGTAAGACATATTGTACTTGACTTATACTAATTCACCCCTTTGGACTCAAGTACTTTTGGTTAAGCCTGGTACAAGTATTGTAAAAGTATCTTGCATAAGAAACGATATAAATTTCAGCAATAGACACAAAACAATCTGACACAATTTGGCTATTTTAAGTAAACTTGAAACAACTTGTATTAGAATTGCACACGATTGTGCTACCAGGGTATATACCAAAAAGACCAGTCAAGAGTTATTTTTATGAAAATAGTTATGCCTAACCAAAAATCTCACACTGACAGAAAATTAGATAAATAAAAAGCTACTCTGTGAACTTATATCATTGTTGGTTACAAATACTAAAAGAAGTAATAATCGAGTAAACATCATCTGTAGCTATGGAAACTGACACAAACAAATTTAAACTGTCAAAAATTATTGAAAATGCGATTTCCTTCTCAATTCTGAACACATCCTGTATTTTTGAATTTATGAATCAAGATATCAAGATACAGTTGTCACTGTTCAATTATTCTCAAAATTCGAGCCCAAGACACCTTAGCTATTTCTTATTAATCCCTTCGGCAAATAAGAGAAATCTCCCTAAAGTTGGGTATTTTCAACTTCTGATAAATGTATCTTCCAGTTAAATCTATATCTGTCTCATAAAACACATGTGCATAAGAAAGCAACAGACTTAGATTTAACTGACAGTGAAGAAACTGACCCTTAGTGTTGAAATTGGCTCCCTCCACATAATCATAACAAAATGATACAAACTGTACTTACAATTCTTTAACCATTTCTTTATGGCTGTAAAAATCAGAGCAGAACAGCTTATTCTCCAATCCGCCCAATTCACTCTTGAATTCACAGACAACTTCCAAGGACTTCTGCAAATCAAAGTCCGGCTCATTTGTAAGAATCCTTACAATTGATTTGATCATATTAAATCTTTCTCCAATACTCTTCAAATTGTAATCTCCATATTTGCAAATGATCTTGTTCATTTTTTCCTAAAAAAAAATATAGGTATGTACTTAGATATTGAATTTTAAAATCGAGTAAGTCTTACTGTTCGTAAAGTACAGCTCTGTAGATCTTTGTTGATGTACTGAAGAATTTTTCTGAAAAATTGGTCAGAGTTATCAATATCTTTCTTTTCTTGGATGTACAAAATTTTCAGTAAAATATACTGGGATAAAAATTTTATGACCATGTCTTCGATTTCCTTAAGACTCTCCAGTTTTGCTCTGAAAAAATTGTGTATTTCAATATTTGCAATTCCTTTGCAAACGTTGCAACATACTGATAAATTTTTTGTTCCTGTTGAGCATACTTGTACTTTGTTTGAGCAATATGATGTTCAGCTAATTTTTCAGAGATATTGTCCAACATTCCACACATTCTACGCTTTGTTTCTTCTTTGCCTTCCCTGCTCATTTGTGTATAAGCACTAGAGAAAATTGTTACAGAATTATCTTTTGTATATATTCTTTGAAACATATATTACAAGTGCATATTACTAGAACTATGAATTAATTTTTAAGGATTTACAATGGATTATATGTCGCATCGGAAACTTCTGTAAATATATTCATGTCAGAGCTCCGTTTTTACTTTCTATTATGTGACATTTTGCTGAAGTGTAAACAGCATATTTACTTTTCAGCTCCGTAGATGTCGAATTATGAAGCAACAAAACATCATTTGCGGAGTTTTACATATCCTGTTTAATTCAAAGAAAAATGCAGTGCTGTTGAAAATTTACAGTGAACATACTTCATCAATAAATACATGTGAGTATTGGTTACGACGTTTTAAAAGGTGGTGATTTCGATACAGTTGACAAAGAACACTGGTCAACTGAAAAAGTTCAAAGATAAGAAACTGTAAGCATTACTCATCCAAGATTCATGTCAAACGCAAGATGAACTTGCTGGATCATTGAATGTTGATCACACAACAATTTTCAAACGTTTAAATGCATTTGGTATAATTCAAAACCAAGGAAATTGGGAAAAGTAGTGGTTAGTGATGGATATTTTTTTTAATAATAATAACACAATTTTTCATAATAAAGCTTTGAATTTACAAAAAATATCCTCAAAATTAGTTCGTAGTCCTAGTAAAATTGGGAAGCAGTTTTCATTTTGAGAGCATTTCTGTTTCAGGTAAGTTGTTTGATATTGATTTTTTTTTAAATAAATGCATGTTCCTTTAAGAATTGTCAGTGACCTTATTTATGTCAGTAAATTTTTTCAATTCTAAAAATCTGCGAAAATACTGATTAATGAAATATTTTTGACTTACTTTTCCTCCAGATGTAATATGGAATCGATATCAGTCTTATTTAAATAATGTAACATTTCTCTTGCTTTTTCTACCTCAATTTTCATTATTACATAATTTTGATGACTATGGAGAATCCTGTAACGAATGTTAAAACAAATTTAAATATACTTGTATTTTAAATTTTTCTTTTTCAATGACATACCTATTTTTCATAATATTTAAAGTATTTGATATAGGATCATTTGTGCTTATTGTGTCTGAAAAAGTTTGGTTTTCTGCATCAGCCATGCTTAAACTGGAGGGATAAAATTCTACTTCTAACAACGGTGTTAAGAAAGAGGTTATATTGTCGAAATTTTCTTTGCATTTCTTCATATCTATATTATTTATAAAATTAGGCACAGAACCCTAAAAAATAACACAATGAATAATGCATAATTCAGCAGAAAAGTATTTGCACATACAAATTCAAAATTATATAGATTAGATCCATACTTCACCAGCTGAGCATGTAGTTTACCGTTTACTTCATCTAATTTTTCTCCTAATGAGTTGCACATTTCTTGTGTGGATTTTAGTTTTAATGCAGTCTTAATTTCTTCAGAGGTCTCAGTGGCTATATCTTTAACAAGTTCAATTTGCAAGGCTCTGCAAAGAACATGTTAATAGTAATAAATGTAACACTGAACATATATTTTTACATTACTCGTTTATTTTTGCCAGTTCATCAAGGTGCTTATTTTCTTCTAAAGCTAATTCAATTTCATCTTCAAGTAGTTCAATTTCCAGTTCAGTCATATCTACATCAAAAATACCTGGATATTCTGATTTAATACTTTTAACTTCTTGTTCATATTTCTCGCCCATTAATGGTACTTTCAATTCTGAAAATCTAAAAGAACTTAATAGACAAACATTTGTATCGAAAATTAATATCTTACTCTGCATTTTCTATAGGAGACAAGTAATTTTCTTTGGATAAAGAAGTACACATCCAGTTTAATAACCTTTTCAAATCTTTATCATCTGTATCAAACCAAGCTTTTATAACATTTGGGCCTACATTTAGTAAAGAAATATTTAATTCAGTGAATACTTTTAATAAATCTTCTCCATTATAATTAGACATTTTTAAAAATATTTTATAAAATTGAATAGAACACAACCGTTGATATATAACCTCACATGTCACAATTTGAGATTGAGATTCAAATATTCAAATTTTCAGTAGAACCAACCTAAGTAGTTAGAATAAAAAATTATTTCCCAATGATAGTATCCGATTAGTGTGAACATGGAGACTAGATAGTATAGTCTCCATGAGTGTGAAATTGGAGCGAATTTGGTCGTAGGTAAAGTATAGTACGTAATACGTGGTGTAATGCAATTACGCACTCATAGAATAACGCACTCGCCGCTACGCGGCGTCGTGCGTAACTTTTCCATTCCTGTGTAAAATGCTTTCTACAACACTTATTACGTAATATACTATTGTAGGTCGAGATCTGGGAGTTAGTTCGGCAGATAACGAGTAACCTGGTACCTTTGTGTTCATCATACAAAATTCGACAGAAGACGTTTCGGCTGTTTTTGAGGAGGCCTTACAGTTCCGACAATTTGTTCGTACGTAACCTACATTTCCGCAATCGTAACATGTTAAAGATGTCGCCAGTTTGGGAGGTGCGAGGGGAGGAGACGAAATTGCATCGGATATCGGCAAAGAGTAAGTCCTTGATTGTTTTTGTACCAATTTTCGACAATCTTCTTTTAAATGGCCAACATTCCTACAATAGGAACAACGTGGTTTCTTTAAATTAGATTTGCCTTGGTCAACATCAAAGGATTCATGCAAAATTACCTCAGCAATGCGCGACTGTTCCAAAAGTTCAGAAAAACTTTCAATTTTATTGCTAGGAACCAGGGACCTTAATGTAATAACGGTACCGGTCCGGTTACGGTTCGGATAGAAATGTACCATTTCGGTTTCGGTTCGGTTACGGTCCACTAGCTGATATTTGGGTCCGGTTCTGACCAGCCTTTTTCGGTCCAAAGGGTTTTTATTGGTTTTCCCTTGTGACGTAATATCATTACAATTATAGTGAAATAATTCTTCCTGATATTTTTTCCATTTAATTATGCATTTGTAAAATTCAATACTTAACAATAATTATTATATTATATAGTGACTGCAAAAGTATGGCAACGGAATATGTTTAGTTATCGAAATATGTATGAAGAGTAATTTTAGTAATTTTTTTGGTTGCATCAGTCATCAATCAGTATAAAAAATTTAATTATTTAAATTTAAACGATGATGAACACAGTATTATTTATCTAGGATAGATGATGATAATCTGTTTAAGAAAATGATACGTAACACCTGCGTAACACGATCACAACAAAAAAAGTTTGTGACAAAAACAAACGGTAAAGTAAAATGGCGTTGCTACCACAAATACACAGACAATAAGACAAAACGCGGAGAAACGGTTTGACGTAGCCGCTAGACATGACAATCCCCTCCTCAGGCAAGCCGTTGACTACGTACCCGACGTGACCGACAAACACAAAAGACCTAGACACCAACTTTTTGACCCTGGGTGACCACCCCAATGACCCCCCCCCTGCCCGCTAACCTTTTCTGTTTCAGAGAC